CGAGCCCCTTCGTGTGCGAGCTTACGGTTCGGTGGTGGGCGAGGTGTCTCCAGGGAGGAGGAAGAGGAGCAGGAGGAAGATGCTCAGGCAACCGGGCAGCCTGTCCTTCCCCATGGTGCAGACTTGTCCGCTGGCTCCCTACACCCTGGCTGTCCGCTGGGTCCGCCCCTTTATACCTCTCTCTGCAAACAGCCCCCAGGAGGGACGAGATAAGGGCAGGGGGCCAGGACCATCTGGGAAATGGAGAGAGGTACGTGAGGAGGAGCCAGAGCCAACAGCTTTGACTCATGGCACAGAGACTGTCCCTGGCCAGACCCTGACAAACTGGGAGGGAAGGGTATTTATTTGAGGTGTTCATGTGAGACACTCTCCTGTGTCTGAACCATTTACCCCCATCCCCTGTTTGTATCACTCCAGCAGCACTCTGCGGTGGTTGGAGAAGCCCTTTAGCTCATTACAGGGCCAGTCCAGCATTCTGTGGGGATTGGAACAAACTCCCAAATCCTGCCCAGCGTTTCCAGAGAAACCTTTCCTGTCCCCACCCCCAGTACTGCCAACCACAAGAGATCAAAAAGCGCGAGTCAGACCTTCACCTGCATCAGATTGGTCCCCCAAAATCTTAAGATTCTATATAAAAAAGACACCATTGTGGTTTTGGTCTTTTGAACTCCCCGGGCCCCTCCCCAGTGTGTGTGTGCGACCGTCAGTCTGACCCACTCTACCAGAGGTTTGGGTTAAGGGGATTTGGGGCCCGATCCATTATGTTTGCGGGGGCCAGAACCCCTCACATTGACTTTATTTATGCAGATGGTTCAGAAGTTTTGGGGACCCGTGAGCTTGGGGCCCCATACAATTGTCTCCCTTTTCCTGCCTCTAGTCAGTCCTGTCTGTAGGGAATGCCAGTGAGAGACCATTTTGTGTACCATTGCCCCCTGCTGCATGGCCAGTGTCAGAGCTGGCCATGGGTGGAGCTGCCCCTGTAGGGATGTGTTTGTGCCACTGCCATTGCAGGAATGTGTAGAGCACACTTGCTCATGTCCACAGCACTTGCCTTTCCTGGCTGAACAGCTGTGCTGGAGCAGGAGCTGAGATGCACCATATTCCAATCAGAAGGAGGCAACATCAGACTAGCTCTGGGCATATCAGTTCCCTCAGTTGTCCAAAGGAGTGGGACTGCTTCTTTAGCTCCCCAGGAAGCTGGTGCTGGTTGTGAATGGTCTCTTTGGAGCACAGTAAGACTGGCACACTGGGGCTCTAAATGGCGAAAGGAGAGTCTTGTGAGCAAAGACATGGGAGTTGGGAGAAGTGGGGTCATTTCTCAGCCCTGCCACTGATTCACTGTTTGACCATGGGCACATCCGGTCCCCTCTGTATCTCACTTTACCCATCAGTAAAATGGAGGTAATGATCCTGACCCACCTGGCAGGGGCGTGCT